ATCTTTTTGCCGATACTTAATGCCAACTTTCAACTCTGCAGCTGTCGTAGTTTTATGGGAAAAGCGACACATGTGTTTCCAAGTTGCCAAATATATAATAGATGTATAAATTGATTCTCTATTCCGCTTTGGTGGTTGTACACTTCAGAATGTCAAAGGTGTGAGTCCAGTGCGCACGGCTAGTGAACGGAAACCTCACTTGTTTACAATGGCGTTTTAGAAGACGGACTTTCCCAAGAATAAATCTAAACTAAACTAATGAAAAACTGAAACTTAATTTATAGTGACTCCAGGCTTTTCAATAAAACTGTGCACCCTTTAAATGATTCTGAATGACCATTAATTTGGTCAAATTCGAAAGTTAAGTGTTTCGGAAGTTTTTTAGGCGACCAAAGTGACGGACTTTCACAAATAATATTAATATACAGAGATAATGGTGGAAGGGGACCAGGGCCAGACAGTGAATGAGTTACCATAATGGCTTAATTGCAACCTTGGTGGAAACCATCAAATAAAAATTCTTCATTAAATTAAGCAGATGTTATTTGATCCAGACCTTCAACACACTTTAAGAAGTTTGTGATGAATTTCTTATATTATTATCTCAGCATTCATTGATTCTTAGCAGACGTTAAGACAAGGTAAAGTGGCCTATGTATCTTCTTATAATTTTATTCTTTTTTGTTGTTTTTGTTGTTGTTGTGGCTGTTGTTTTTGTTCTTTGTAAATTATAGATTCGTCAGTGACGTGATTTGCAAGTCTACTTTTCTCAAAAGGACCCTGTAATTATTGCACAGTGTCTAAAATAAAAGAGGGCCCATTTTAAGGGCAAAAACCTGGTCATCTTTGCCTCAGTTTAATTAAAGCTTCGAGCAAACAAAATGCAAGGGGACGTCAAATTGTCATTTTAATGTAACAAAAAAACAACAACCGTCGAGTTCGAGAATAAAATACTCTTTTTTTTTAAAATCAATGATATATGACGCAAAATTGCAGGCTATAACTTCAAAAAAATCAACAATAAATAAACTTTAATGTTTTTTTGTGCGTACATTTAGTTAACACTGACATTGTCATAAACAGCGAGTAAAAAAAAAACAACAACAACAGATAAAACAAAGAGGACAGACTCAAAAGGCATAGGCAGGGAGTAAAAACACACCAAAAACAGATAAAACAAACAGGATTGACTCAAAGCGCTGTGTTCCTTTAGGTGTTTTCGTTTGGTTTGGTTTCGTTTGGTCTGGTTTCGTTTTTTCTTGAAAAACAGTCTCCTGAACGAACCTAAAAACGATCGAATAGTGTTGAACAGGAGGTCCTGAAAATCTACTCAGATCCGAGTCGTACTTGCCAAATTTCCGGGGGTATATCCGAGCCTCTCTGAAGAGAATTCGTTAGCATTCGGAGCATATTATTATAGCTACCACCTTCCGTAAGTTTATTTGGCAATATTAGTTTGAAAAAGGTACGATGTTCGACTCTAATTCAACAGGTCCAGGACTCGAAACCTAACAGTGACGGAAACAAAGTCTCTTCGAAAATTAAATGTCTCCTTTCACCTCTTTCCTCATCTCTATACACGTTCTGTCAACTGCTTTCGTCTCCACTCCACGCCCCTTCCCCAACCCGTCAGCCCCGGCCTCCAGGCGCCTCTCTCCTTTGCCCTTGGCTCTTTCTACGTGTAGGCTACTGCTATTCTTGCTCCTTCTTACTGAATTTAGGGTAGGTAAGGTCTGACATCAAGCTATTTCAGATTAAGGCACAAAATGTCAGTGGTCCTCTGTGCAAGTTGCCACTTGAACGATCTCTTTGTGGTCCTAAAATTGATAAGAATATGCTTCAGCCGCAACAGGAGCAAAATTCAACATCAAATCCTTCCATAACCGAAAATACTCTTGTCAGTATAAAAACATTGAGTAGTTTCGAAATCAAAATGTGGCTGCCTGAAGGCAAGAGTCTCTACTAAGTAGGAACAACTGACATAATGTAAGGCCACAAACGTAACAATCGGCAGCATTACTACAGGCTGAAGCACCAGCAGTCCACTATCCCTGAGAAGAAGCAGAAGGGCGCAAAGAAGCAGAGAATATAATACGTTTACTCAAACTAACAACTTACATAATGTTGTGACAGCTGCAATAATTAGTTCTCACCTTATCATGCCGCTTTGTGTGCACTTCAGAACGAGACAAGAGGGGACACCATCGTTATTTCAAGTTCTACACAGTATTTCCGTATTGGTATTTCCACTATACTGTTATTACTTTTGCTCTCCTTCTATAACATCATATTCTACAATATTATAATAATACATGCATAATGTACCGACTGACCTAATACACCTCTTCAGAATGGCCGGTGCGTTAGGGTTAGTAGAGTTAGAGTTAGATTTAGAGTTGGGGTTCGGGGTTCAGATTGGCGTTGGAGTTGGGGTTGGGGTTGGGTTGGGGATGGAGTTGGGATTGGAGTTAAGGTTAGGGTTAGGGTTAGGGTTAGGGTTAGGGTTAGGGTTAGGGTTAGGGTTAGGGTTAGGGTAAAGTTTATTGTTAGGGATTTGGGTTAGGGTTAGGCTTAGGGTTAAAGTTACAGTTAGGGTTAAATCTACTGTTTTTGTTACACCGTAAAACTGTTTTTAAGACCTAGACTTTTCATTGTCTCTGCTGTTTTAGATTCATTCTTTCTGGTGTTATGTCACCACAGTTTTGATTGACGAGTCTCAAACATAACATTATACTTCTTACAAATATTATGAAAGTGTGACAATATATTATGGAGAGGCACTGTTTGTTAAGTGCACGTATTATATATACATACTAAAGAGTGCTCTTTTCACAACAGTATCATTCTTAGTGTGCCTTTTTTATTTATGATTTTTTATTTGAATTAAAAAAAACAACTTACTTTCATACAATCTAGACAATGATAAATAGTGACTCTGCATACTTTCTCGGATTTAGTTTAACTTTTCCCTTGGCTTATCCGCTACTTCGTAGGCCAACACTCCCGCCCAAAGTTTAAAATAAATGAAGGAAGAAAGCAGAGAATGGAAATAAATACAATAAAAGACACATAAAAAGTTAAACTACAAATAAAGAAAGAAAGAATAGGCATTTTGTTGTATCTGTGAACATACACGCATGTATACATACATAATACAATACATAAAAAAACATAAAAGAATACCAAATACACAATCTTGCTCCAAAGTACAATTTAACAAACATAATATGGCTGGTTGCCACTGTGCAGCGCCTTATATAGTATAATGCTTTCTCTTTCAGTCGTTGGGACATACAATAAGCTCTTTCCTCGTATCACCACACCCTTACAACGAACATAACAACCGAGTGAACCAACAGGTCTCACGGGAGCTGATATCTGTCAAACTCCTGTTTACATTTTCTTATTCAGGATCGGATAAATCTCAACGGAAACTTCCTGCCGCAAACGAGAACGACAAAACATTAGCGTTTAAAATGACACAAAGACAGACAATCGGCTCCACTGATATCTTAATATTTTACTTATCTTTCCTCTCAACGAAAAGCAACTTTGTGTTATTCTTACCTTTCCTAATCCTGAAAAACGCTAAAACAAATCTATCATTGATCGCGGACATGGGAAGATAACGGTAGGAGACGAAGAAAGCTTGGAAACGCCGGCATGTTGTCG